CTTCCTTGAAACATTATGCATTTCATAACACTGACATATGGGCTTTTACATACATTACCAGGACTCCTCTGTGAGATACGAACAAACCTGTCCCATATGTCGAGTTGCCTATTCAGACCGAGAGTCGTAAGTTAAACCGCTGTGCAATAGATGGCGGTGGTGGCATCTACATCTGCAGAAAATGAAGAACCAGTGGCATCGACATCTGCAGAACATGAAGAACCAGTGGCATCTACATCTGCAGAAAATGAAGAACCAGTGGCATCGACATCTGCAGAACATGAAGAACCAGTGGCATCTACATCTGCAGAACATGGAGAACCAGTGCCATCTACATCTGCAGAACGTGAAGATACAGTGGCATATACGTCTACAGAACATGAAGAACAAATGGCATCTACACCTGCAGAAAATGAAGAACTAGTGGCATCTGCAGAACATGAAGAACCAATGGCATCTAAATCTGCAGAACATGAAAAACCAGTGGCATCTACATCTGCAGAAAATGAAGAACTAGTGGCATCTGCAGAACGTGAATAACCAGTGGCATCTTCATCTGCAGAACATGAAGAAACAGTGGCATCTACATCTGCAGAAAAGGAAGAACTAGTGGCATCTGCAGAACAGTAATAACCAGTGGCATCTTCATCTGTAGAAAATAAAGAACCAGTGGCATATACATCTGCAGAACATGAAGAACCAGTAGCATCTACATCTGCAGAACATGAAGAACCATTGGCATCTGCAGAACATGAAGACACCAGTGGCATATACATCTGCAGAACATGAATAACCAGTGGCATATACATCTGCAGAACATGAATAACCAGTGGCTTCTACATCTACAGGAGATTATACAACTTGTAAAGCCATTTCTCCTGTTTAGTGTACACGCTGTACAGCATGTTTGCAATCAACACGAGTAAAGTTGGACTTTCAAAAAAATCGACTTACAAACAGACCTCTGGAACCTAACGCGTTCGTAAATAGATAAGTACATGAGTTTTCTTACTTACGAACGCGTCCCGGGATCCAACTGTGTTCGTAAGTCGTGGACCGCCTCTATAACTGTTGTGTGGCAGCTGCCCTCGCGTCTCTATCGAGCCTGCACGTGTCACAGGTTTACCTCTCGAGACATTTGTGTGTCCGGCAAAAGCCGGTTTTTGTTTTGTCTTACCGGTTAATCACGCGGTTACCGGTTATGTGAAAGGACCGGTGTTTTTTTTTTATAGCCCGAGTTGTTAGAGATGCGCAACCCGCACGCGTCGCACGCGTGGTGAAGTATGGCGTATTCTTAGGTTTTTTCGGTAAAGTCACGTAAGTAAAAAAAATTAATTAATAAAAGTAAAAGAAAATAAAAATCACGACGTTATGGCGTCTTTCTCTGGTCCGTCACTGGTGGTGATACTGAGCCATAAGGAAAGCTGATGTCTCTGGTGTAGGCCAATCACTTTCGAAGACAATGCCATTCATTATCAGAGCATATTTGTTTGCATGTTCACCATAATTACTGTGTGCAGTTCATGAAGCATTGATTGGTGGCGTGATCTAACCCAAAAAACCTCTTCTGGATGATATTGTTCGCGAAAGCCTACGTGTTAAACTGATATTATGGATGATATTTATAATGTATATTGGGTGTGATCGCGTAAATATAAATGTGTCGTTCAACCCGCCACCACCAATTAGTAAAGTTTGTCACATAAACGAAATATACCAATTCGTTACTAGTTGGAGAGCAAATCCTCAACATTTACAATCGGAGTACGACGTTTCGCCAGTAATTACAACCAGTTTCATCAGGCAACAGCGAGATTTGTAGAGAAAGCCTCCTGTTTCGTTCCTTAAATAGGGGGGGTAGATGTGGTAACGTCACTTGTGAGCCCTTCTTGTGCGAAGAGGGGGGGGGGGATTAATGAAACTATAAATTACAATGGGTATCCATTACCCTATATTATGGCTATTGGTCGTGAAAACCGACGTGTTAAACTCCTTCCTAAAATGTATTTGTCGTGTTTTAACATCTATTCAGATTTGTCAAACTACGAACTAAACTCAACTTTTTATTGTACCAGGTAAAGCCCCACTGTGTAGCTCTATTTTTTTTAGAAGCGACCCTGGGTATCACAAATGATAGCTCAACGATGCTTATCAGGCTTATCATCATGTGGATATTTATAGCAGTAGCCAAATACTCCCTAAACACACGTGACGTTGATTCTAAATGCGGAGGGGGAAAACCGGAGGACCTGGAGACAAATCCACGTGACCACGGAGAGAGAGACATTGCAAACTTCAAATATACAGCAGGCATCGTCAGGGTCGAGATCGAACCCACGTCCTCCTGCATACCAGGCGAGGGAGTTAACATCTTCCAGCCAACGTGATGATGAGAGAGAGAAAGACACCACAAACTCAAAATATACAGCAGGCATTGTCAGGGTCGGGATCGAACCCTCGGCCTCCTGAATACCAGGCGAGGGAGTTAACATCTAGCCACCGTGGCGCCCATGTATTATGAATGTAGCCGGAGTGCACGGATTTTAGCAGCGTTAAAGTGGTGCGGCCGTCTGCTACGCCCGTGGGAGTCTCCGTGCATTATGCACGAGGCAATCAGAGCCCCCCCCCACCAGCCCCCCACTAATGCACCCCCCTCCCCGCACCAACAGCGGGCCCGCTTGTGTACGCAGACGCACGCACGCGCACACTACAGAAAAAGATCCCCCGGGTAGCCTTTTGAACACGCACCTGTGGGCTGCGAAGGCCGGACACGCGGCAAACAAGGAGCGAGGTTGGGTGGGGGTGGCCAGCACCACACCCCAGCCGCCTTTGTCTCTCCCTACCACCAATGTTCGAAACGAGGGGAGCTGTCACGGCAGTGTCGAGGTAAGCTGCAGGGTTGCGTGACGAGGACGCCAGATGAGTTGCGTGGTCATATTTACGCGCCATTATAACACGGGACACGTGCTGTTATAACGTGGGACACGCACCGTTATAACACGGGGCACGCGCCATTATAACACGAGACACGTGCTGTTATAAAGCGGGGCACGCACCGTTATAACGCGGGACACGCACCGTTATAACACGGGGCACGCGCCATTATAACACGAGACACGTGCTGTTATAAAGCGGGGCACGCACCGTTATAACGCGGGACACGCACCGTTATAACACGGGGCACGCGCCATTATAACACGGGACACGTGCTGTTATAACACGGGACGCGCACCATTTTTACTTGGAACCCGCGCCATTATAGGGCAGTTTCTGAGCGGTCAATGATGACCTACTTTCTTGAGCTGCGTGGCTGAGCGGTTACAGTGATACAGTAATGCAGAATGATACAGTAATGCGGCGGTGTAGCCCCAGTATCCGCCATCTCAACGCATGGTGTGCACAGTAGCAACATCGTACATTTGCCAAACTTGATCGTTGGCGGGGAAATTGTTTTCGCTCGACGCCTCCTTCGCTTTGGATCGTCGTCGTCTGCAACTGCTTTGTCCATTTCTGAGCGAGCAGTTGGGAAACTCCTCTGCGCATGGCTACAGCGTGGTCCAGCCATGCCCTTATTCACATGATAGCCCCGCCCCTAGCTTCACCTACTCCCACCTGCCCCACCCTCCAATACAGGGACTCCTCTAATTACAATTGAGTTAGATTCCAGAGGCCTGTTCGTAAGCCTAACTTTACTCCTGTCGATTCCGAACACGTTGTATGGCTTTAAAAGTTGTCTCATCTCCTGTAGATGCTACTGTTTCTTCAGATTCTGCAGATGTAGATGCCACTGGTTCTTCAGATTATGTAGATGTAGATGCCACTGGTTCTTCACGTTTTGCAGATATAGATGCCACTGGTTCTTCAGATTCTGTAGATGTAGATGCCACCGCCGCCATCTATTGCGCGGCGGTTGAACTTACGACTCTCGGTTTGAATGGGCAACTGGACATACGGACAGGTTTGTTCGTATCTCTGAGAGGTCGAATATTCGTAAGTAAAGTAGTACCTGTACCATTACTCACCATTTGCCACTAAGTGACAGTGACGTCACCACGGCGCCTATGCCAGGCCAGGTGCACTTTGAGGCCACGTGAAGTGTCGAAGGCTCGCTAACAGGAGGTCGCGGGTTGGCAGACTGATATGACCAGTAGATGCACCACCAGCTGTACCCCCTACTGTGGCAACATGCTGCATTTTAGCTGCCCGGCGCTCTACTCGTTCTTGTGAGCATCGCTCCCCTGCCCTCCATTGATGGAGGGCGACTACCCCCCTGCCCCCCCACCCAATTGCAGTTGTGCGTGTGCATCTGCATTGCTGGCGGTGAAATGCGTCACCACAAATCGTTGAGAGGATCAACGCTCGACTGGTGGCGCCCGTTCATCTTTCTCGCCACGTGCGGGGGGGGGGGGGGCAGCAACTGGCCGCAGAGAGAATGTCGAGCGTTTGGGTTACTCTCAACCAAGCCTGTAACGCGACAGAAGCAGACGGAATCTGCGGTCAGCGAGATAAATGGAAGGGAATAGTGCTTGGCATCACATCCTTGGACGGGCGCGTTTTTGCCCCATCCATGTTACGGTCTCGAGTCCCCGATTTGAAGGGTAATCGAGGGCTTAATCACCGCATCGATTTCATTGCCAAAGCGATCCCTGGATCGAGTAATCCCATCGGTTAGTCTTGCGTGCCGCGTGGACCCCCTACATTTTTTGCGACCTGCCAATATCTGCACTGACATACATATGTGTGCATGTTGAACTTCTGTCGCACGGCACGTAGCTGAACGTGCTAATCGGTGGTGCGGGGGTGAGTGTCAGAGGTTGAAAATGGCTGACGAGCATGACAACGACGACGACCGGTCATGCTGTGCTTCGGCCCTGCCGTGTTCCCCGCAGCACACTGAAGAAGCTGAGCGAAGGTCGGCGACATCGATCACGGTCCGTTTGTACTGCATCGATAAAATCGTACGCCCAGGACGGAATCACCGATCAAAGAATTTGCCCCCCCCCCTCCAATATATGCAAATATGGAAGAAGCTGGGCATGGCATTAACCAAAAGGGGTATAAGCCTTTGCCCATATACGGTGTCATGGACTGGGAAATCGAGCCTAATCCCATGGATCGGGAGTAACGATTTGACATGCACACATTCTTTGGTTTTTTCGGTAAAGTCACGTATAAAAATAAAATAATAAATTAAATAATTTTATTTCTTATTTTATTTTTATACGTGACTTTACCGAAAAAACCAAAGAATAATTCCTGCAGTCACGAAAGCTCCAAAATTAAGAATGCACACATTCGTTTGAGTGCCTAATAATCAGCAAGGTCAACGATTCCGTCAGTTCTCTTCTTATTGTACCACCAGCGCAATTCGGCGGAGGAGTGGCAGCGCATCGGTCGGTGCATCTGCGCCCACGGATGGGAGAGACCTGCGGGTGGTTTCCCGGCCACGGTTGAACGGCAACGGCGTAAACGACGACGTCAAAACTCCTCGTTGTGGCCCCCCTCGGGCCCCTCCTGTCCATGGAGCCGGCATGGTGAATGATGCAGGTCAAACACAACCCTTGCATCAAACACCACTGCCATCATCATCATCGTCGTCATTTTCCACGGGTTGACTCTGACACCAAGTTGGCGAAGCTACTGAGGCTATGGTAGTCGAGGTTGGGGTGGAGGCTCCACCACCGACGAGCGATAGTGGCAGCAGCGGCAGCTTGGCATGAAGGTTTGTTGGCATTCCGGAGCTTAAGGGGGTGTCTGAGCCAGGTGAGTGCTGTAGCTGTAATTCGGCAGGGTGGTGGTGGGTGCTTGTGGGTGGTGGTGGTTGGCGGTGTAGGTGGTGGTGGCGGTAGTGGTGGCGGTGTAGGTGGCGGTGGTGGTGGTGGCGGTGGTGGCAGTAGGGAGGGAGCGCAGCAGCCTCCCACAGACGTTGGGCTCATTCACGACCTGCGGCCCACGGCCCTCTCACTCCACCGGCTGGTAGACCTTCCGGCCCGGCCCGATGTCCCGTGCCTGCGCGAGGCCCACGGCGTCCCCCAACGGCCTCAGCTCGAGGTCCCCGCGGCCGTGAGCCGGGGACGCGGGCGTCCCCCCGGGCGTCCCCCCGGGCGTCCCGCCACTCCGCCGCCTCCCCCCGCCGCCGGTGCCGGATGACGATGGCAGGAGGCGCTCGGCCAGCGCTGCCCACGTGCGGCACGGCCGCCTGCGCCCCCCGCGGCCCCGCGAGCCCGAGGCGAAGGATCCGCGTGGCCCCACGCAGAGGCCCGGGTCGGCGCCGACTCCGAGGCCCACCCCGAGCGCAGACGCGGAGACCAGCCCCACGACCACCCTGTGGACCTTCCCCGTCCTGCCGTCGCCGAGGTCGCGGTCAAGGTCATCGTCGTCGTCGTCGTCGCGGTGCGACTCAAAGAGTTCCCTCGGCAGAGCGTCCCGGGCCAGCCGCCGGCGCAGGGTGACCTCGCGCGCCTTCTGTCGGCGGTAGTACTTGATGAACTTGTTGAAGATGATGGTGACGGGCATGGACATGATGAGGATGCCGCAGAGGACACAGCAGACGCTCACCGCCTTGCCGGCGGGCGTCGTGGGCACCGCGTCGCCGTAGCCCACCGTGGTCATGCTGATGGTCGCCCACCAGTAGCAGAGAGGGATGGTGCCCATGTTCTCGCCGTCGTCGCGCTCCAGGTAGTAGGCGAGCGAGGCGAAGATGAGGATGCCCGTGACGAGGAAGAGGAGCAGCACGCCGATGTCGCTGTGGCTGTGCGCCAGTGTCTCGCCCAGCGAGCGCAGGCCCGCCGAGTGGCGCGCCAGCTTGAGGATGCGGAAGACGCGCAACAGCCTGTGGGTGGGTGTGGGTGGGTGAGTGGGTGGGTGGGTGGGTGAGAGTGGGTGGGTGCGAGGGGGTGAGTGGTTGGGTGGGTGAGAGTGGGTGGGTGAGTGGGGGTGTGGGTGGGTGGGTGAGTGGGGGTGTGGGTGGGTGGGTGGGTGAGTGGGGGTGAGTGGGTGAGAGTGAGTGGGTGCGTGAGAGTGAGTGGGTGCGTGGGGGTAAGAGTGGTTGGGTGGGTGAGAGTGGGTGGGTGCGTGGGGGTGAGAGTGAGTGGGTGCGTGGAGGTAAGAGTGAGGGTGGGTGAGTGGGTGGGTAAGAAGGTGTGTGGATGGGGGAGAGTGGGTCAGAGTAGGTAAGAGTGCATTGGTGCTTGTGTGTGGGTACGGGTGGACAACGGGAAGGGTCGACATTGGGCAGCGACTTCAGCTCACCTGCTCCTCACTCCGTCCCTCCCCCGCGTCAGCCAACAATTCACCTGCCCGTCACATCCCCCCCCCGAGTGAGCTGCTCGCTCTCCATCCCTCCCCCTGCCCCAGCAGCTCACCTGAGCGACTGCGTGACTCGCCCCACGTCGCGCACGCGCACGCCGCTCGAGAGCAGCGCGCGCACCGCCTCGGTGGCGTAGTAGGGCAACACGGAGACGGCGTCGATGACGTTCAGGGGCTCGCGCACAAAGCGGTCGAGCCGCGGCGCCGCCGCCATCCGCAGCACCAGCTCGGCGGTGAACCACGCGATGCACACGCGCTCCACCTGCGCCAGCGCGCCCCTCTCCTCCTCGGGCTCCTCGGCCGCCGTGGCGCCACCGGCGCTGACGGCGCCGCGCCGGCGCGCGGCCGCCTGGAACTCGGGCATGCTGTTGACGCACATGGCCGCGACGGACGTGAGCACGGCAAGCACGGAGACGGCGGCGATGACGCGAGCGAAGGCTGAGAAGTCCGGGTTCTCCAGGGTCAGCCACAGCAGGCGCCTGCGGGGGGGTGGGGGTGGGGGGTGGGCAGAGACTAGACAAGTGAGAGCTTACACGAGTCGGAGTTTGTACACGAGTGCCTATGCAGGTGAGTGTATACAGGTGAGCTCACAGGTAACAATATATACAAGTCTGTACGTGCACGCACCTCCGCTGGCCGCAGCACTTGCGCGTGAACTCCTCCATGTCCCTCTCCACGGATGCCATCTCCTCCTCGGGGGAGCCCTTGGGTGGGGCCCTCTCCCCCCCGGCGCCACCACCGCCACCGCCGTCATCGCTGCCGCCACTTCCGCCGCCGTCGTCATCGTCATCGTGAGTGAATCCCTCCTCGTCGTCGTCATCCTCGTCGAACTCCCCGCTGTCCCCGCAGTTCTCCTTGCGCTCGTGGTACTTGTAGCTGTGCGGGGCGGATGGAGAGAGAGCCCCCACAGCGGTCCTCACCTGCAGCAGGAGCTCACTTAGGACTTGTGTACGTGTCCCTACTTGCTCACCTGCAGCAGGAGCCCATGTAGTAGTCCTGCACGCCCCAGTACTCGAGCTCCTGGCTGAAGGAGAAGACGCACAGCTCCTCGATGAGGTGCAGGCGTCCCGTGCGGTACAGGTTGAGGACGCCGCGGAATGCCGCCGGGTTGCGGTCGAAGTAGAACTCGCCGGCGGCGTCGCAGTAGTCGTCGCAGAGGCGCAGCGCCTGCTCGTGGCTCTCGCAGCGTGCCAGCTTGCCCAGGCGCGAGTGCGGGAACCGGCGGGCGCTCCCGCGTGCCAGGCGCTCCCGGAGACCCCCCACGTTGACGTGCAGCGGCGCCGACGATCCTGCCCCCCCCGAGCCGGAGCTGCCGGAGCTGCCGAAGGAGGCGATGGAGGTGGCGGTGGCGACCCCCGCGGTTGGCAACGGAGTGGGCTCCGCGTCACCCATTGTGACGATGTGGCGACCGCACGCCAGATGTGGCGGGGGAGGGGGTGGTTTGAGGTTGTGGGGAAGGACTTCGTCCCGGGTTGTGCTCCTTGGGAGAAGGGGGGGGTGTGGTTAGAGGTGGTGTGGTCACGGTTGCCGAGTGGTCGGGTGGCTGAATGAGTGTCACAGTGGGCGACTGACTGGGTGGCTGGGTTAGTTATCACCTGAGACCAGAGAGAGGACAGCCGGGGTCACGGTGGCAGCTTCTGTTAACCACCCGTTTAATGTGTGAAGAGCAGAGAAAGCCCCGTGGCAATGGGGTGGACGTGGTCGGGGCAGGATTGAGGAGAGCTGGGAGATGGTCGCAGACTTTGTCGATTGAGCTACAACAGTTTTGAGGCTGCAGTCTCATAGCTGTCCACCCATACGGTTTACCCCATATTGTCATACAGGGAAATTGAGTTTTCAGGTCCATATGGCGTACGACCATTTCAATATGGGCTTTGTAGGATGAACGTTGAGAATTATAAGGACACATGGTGACCAGTAAGTTCTGAATTGGTCTGTAATAAGGTAGGCACTGATAAGGGGTTGACAGGTGTGCAATCTGGGTGAGGTTAAAGGCAAGCTCTCTCGTTTCAAAACACCTGGTTGGCAAGCAGGCAGCCAACGGGGCCTTCGAACGTGCGCGGTAAGCAAAACGGACACGTAAAGAATGAACATCGCTACTCGGAATGCCTGGACACTACTTGGATAGGTGTTGCTTCCGATCGAATTGAAAGGACAGCTTTTTTTATCCCCGTGTACCAAGCTCTTTGTCGTCATCATCATATAATTTGGACAGTGCCTAATTATAAAGTGGGGTGGCTTGATAGAAAGCCATCACACTTTCATTGATCACATCAATTTTGATTAATTCCGGGGTCAAAATCATGTATCTGCTGCTTTTGACTGAAAATCAAAGTGTGCATGCATTGAAAATCTTGCTTTTTATTGCCTAATAATCGTTTGTGTTGTAATTGTTGGTCTCACACTCAGGGAGCCGGCAGCCACAGTGGCCGCTCCAGCGCCATGACGAGCGGCGACAAAAGCGCGTCTCTCATTGGTCATAGGCTGGCCAACAACAGCCACTGTGATTGGACCAGACGTTTGCAATTGCTCGCTCTGGCCACTGCTGGCAGAAGGTGCCTCCAACACTCTGAGAGGGAGCGCTCGAGTAGCCCCTCTCTGGACTCTAGAGCAGAGGTCCCCAACCCCCAGGCCACGGACCGGTACCGCAGCAGGAGATGAGAGTGGTGAGTCCGCGTGTGGCCCGCCCCCATTTTTTTTTTATTATTGACCACTTCTGTCTGCGCCTCTTTCCCGCACTGCGCACTTGTCACAGTCACAGTGTTGGTAAGCCCACACGCTCTAACCCCTGGCCAAAATTAGTAAAAAACAAACGCCGCTGGAGAGCTTCTTTGAAAAGGGGGAAAGACCCAATGATGAACCCCCCCAGTCCGTGAAAAAATTGTCTTCCACGAAACTGGTCCCTGGTGCCAAAAAAGTTGGGGACCGCTGATCTAGAGGGTGTTTGGTCTACTTTTCCACGCTGCCCAGATGTCTCGGAAGAAGCCTCATCTATGTCAACCATCGATTGTTTTTGTTATTTGCCAGGTAAGGCCCACCGAGCTATATTACTCTTTTTTTCAGAAGCGACCTGGCTATCACAAATGATAGCTCAACGAAGTGGCTTATCATCATCACGTGGTGAGTTATATCAGCCAAAGACTCGGAACGCGTGATGTTGATTCTAAATGTGCAAGGAAAAACCTGGAGGACCCGGAGAAAATGTCACGTGACCACGGGGAGAGAGAGAGACACGCAGACTCCAAATATACAGGTGGCAGGGTCGGGATCGAACCCACAACCTCCTTCATATCAGGCGAGGTCGGTAACATCTCCTAGCCACACACCGCCGTATTAATGAGGGCGGCCTGCCGGATTCGAGCCGCGGACTTCTGGAACAAGGCGGTCGGAGCGCATGACATACGGCCGGGTTGCGTGACCGCCATGCTCCATCTTCGCTCGATCGCCACTGAGCACCACTGCACTTGCCCAGGATGCTGATAGACGAGCCACCGTCTCTCTGTACACGAAGCACCCTGCGCTTCATCACGAAGGTAAAGGCGCAGCGCTGCAAGTGCACGCTTTAACACCACTACTGCGGTGGCGAGATGTTATCACCCTCGCTTGGTATGCATGAGGCCGTGGGTCCGATCCCAACCCTGGCCCCTGCTATATATTTGGAGCTTGCGTCTCTTATAATCATCACGGTGGTGAGATGTTAACTACTTCGCCTGGTATACAGGAGGTCGTGGGTTCGATCCAGACCCTGACACCTGCTGTAAATTTGGAGTTTGCGGTGTCTCTCTCTCTCCCTGTGGCCGCGTGGATTTTTCTCCTGGGTTTTCCCTCCACATTTAGAATCAACATCACGCGTTTAGAGTATTTGGCTACTCGTTGACCTGTCATATGTGATGTCTAGGTCGCTTCTGAAAAAGAGTTACACAGCTCGGTGGGGCCTTACCTGGTAAAATAAAACAGTTTGCCGTTTTAGTTTAGATTAGGAAGAGTCCCTCCGGATGGAACCTTGGCATCCTCTTCCACCCTTGCCAGACGTCCTCGTAGCAGCCAGGGCAATGCAGCGTCGGATTACACACACTTTACCCCACTGCACTCGACCTGGGGTGCGTGAGCTGATTGTGGAGGTTGTGGGTGGGGGATTTAAGAAAAAATCGCCCCATTGGTTACGCCTTAAATTTAATTTAATTACAATTTAAAAAAAGTTAATCGCACATTTCGCTTTTTTATGTGTGGGGGTGGTGGGGTGGAGCGGTGGTGAAACGGTTACCGCACTCCGCTAACAAACCCAGGCCACCCGAATTCGATTCCGGGCCACGGCCACCACCAGCTGTCTCTACCTTCTCCTCCCTGCACCAACTCGCGCACCGATCAGCGTGGTGAAGTATGGTCACCCCCCCCCCCCCATCCATGACTGCCTCGGTGTTGACAGCATGACTTTGTAGCGGTGGATTGGCAAAGGGTTATAAAGTCATGTTTTCTACATTGCTTTTTTAAATATTTATATTAAATTACATTTAATTGGAGTGCGTTATAGACATGTTTGGGGCAGCTGCTTGTGAATCCCATTAAAGATTGAGAGGCTGCCTTGCCAGCGGAAGTCATCACAAAGACAAATTCCCTCCCCGTATAGTCTCAACAGACTGTTGGGGCAAGTGCTGTCAGCGAGCAGCAACACCCACGAAGGCCGGAAATGTGACTGCACATCTCAGTGCGCCTTGCCTGGTTAAATAGTGTCATGACGATAACGCAGTCAAGGCCCGATTCAAATACGCGTCGCCACTTTGTTAACACCGCCACCAGATTTGCGTCGGCTAAAATCTCACACTTGCATCGCTGACAAGCCTCGTCCTCCGCCCTTTCTCGTTATCCGTCGCTTCTCAGGAACGCATCCCCGACGCAAACTGAGGCGTTACAGTAAAGTGCCGCTTATTTCATCCGTGCTAACAGCAGCAACAACACTGAGACCCGTAGACTCACACTGAAAACCCATAGACTCGCATTGAGTCCCGTAGACTCACGCAGAGACCCATAGACTCACACAGATACACATAGACTCACGTAGAGACACACAGACTCACGCAGACCCAAGGACTCACACAGAGACCCACGGACTCACACAGAGACCCACAGACTCATACAGAGACCCATAGACTTACACAGAGACCCACGGACTCACACAGAGACCCACGCACTCACACAGAGACCCACAGACTCACACAGAGACCCACAGACTCACACAGAGAACCAGACTCACACAGAGACCCATAGACTCACACAGAGACCCACAGACTCACACACAAACCACAGACTCATACAGAGACCCACAGACTCACACAGAGAACCACAGACTCATACAGAGACCCACGCACTCACACAGAGACCCAAAGACTCACACAGAGACCCACAGACTCACACAGAGAACCAGACTTACACAGAGACCCATAGACTCACACAGAGACCCACAGACTCACACACAAACCACAGACTCATACAGAGACCCACAGACTCACACAGAGAACCACAGACTCATACAGAGACCCACAGACTCATACAGAGACCCACAGACTCACACAGAGACCCATAGACTCACACAGAGACTCACGGACTCGCACATGCGTCGTCATCACCACTCCGCTACTCCTCCTGACACAATCGTCTGGCTCACCAACCACCCCAATGTAGCATCAGAGCTGCTGCCGTTCTACAGCAACAGCCGCCGGATGATGATAATGATGAAGAAGTTTGCTGACTAGCGTCGAAAAGAAACGTTCGCTTGGATTTTAGATTTCATCCGAGAAAAAAAATCGGCGAATTTTTTTTTTTAAATCCACGCCGGTAAAATCCTCGCTCCGAACAACGAGGCCAACATCACGGAGCCACGACTCTTCAGAGGCCCCCGTCGGCGTCGGCGTTGTGTTCGGGTTGTTGTTCTTCCCCCGCCGCATCTCCGATGAACACGGTTGGCTACGTACGGTGCGAAAAAAGTTCAACATACATATTTCCCATAGATTATTTGAAGCTTTCGTGACTGCAGGAATTACTCTTTGGTTCTTTCGGTAAAGTCACGTAGAAAATAAATAAATTAAATAATAGAATACGACGTTTCGATTGCAACACAAGCAGTCGTCATCAGTTAGAACTAAATTTGAGAAAAAGACAAAACACAGACACGGAGACACACAGACAGACACACAAGCAGAAAGAGACAACACAGAGAGAGACGCACAACATTGTGTGTCTCTCTATGTGTGTCTGTGTGTCTCTCTCTGTGAGAGTGTGTCTCTTTCTGTGAGAGACTACACAGACACACAGAGAGAAGTTTATTATGGTTGTTATTATTATTTTATTATTTTCCTTCTACGTGACTTTACCGAAAGAACCAAGAATATACTGTCCACAGACTCAACACTGTCCATAGACTCAACACTGCCCATAGACTCAACACTGCCCATAGACTCAACACTGCCCATAGACTCAACACTG